GTGACACGGTAGGGGTACTACAGTATCATGACATGTCCCATGTGCATAATAAGTGTGGAAATACTAAATTAGGACCTGCTACTCAATCAGCTTTGTAGATTTCTTCCTCTGAACAGACAATTCCCATCAAAGGTTTTATAGATTTTGAAAGCTTTGGGTTTTGTTTGTAGAGGCAAGTTTCCAGGCCCCGATATGCTTTTCCAAACAAACAGCGCAGCAGTCAGATATAGGCTTGAGCAGTAAACCAAGAGCAGCAAACATGGTTAGTGCTGGCAAGCTCTCAGAGATTGCACAAGTCAAAGGCCCTCGGATCTTGCAGGACAACTACATTTCTAGTGTACTGGCATAGCAGGAAGTGTCTCATGTAAAAGCTTGTGGCTTTGGATGGCACATTTCACCACAGAGGCTTGGAACTAGGGATGTAAGAGTGTAGCCATTTAAAAGGGTAACCAATAAGCATGAGCTCTTGGTCTGGCTCCTAGGGCCTCTGTACCAGAGGCAGCTGCATAGGGGGCAGGCAGGCCCTGGTATGTACCAGGAGCCAGCATAAAAAAGTCCCAGGGAGCTGGCTGCCACCCTGCATATAGCTGTGTAATCGCATGGTTAGCCAATTATGTGCATGATAACATCTCTACTTGCAACCTAACTTTTGCCACAGCTTTGACTTCCCTACCACTATTTTCTCGTTGCTTAATGGCCCAGCCCCTGAATCCTGTGCACAATGTGACTAATAGCATGTATGCTGGAGAAGTTCAGCGAGAAAAAGGAATCCTTCCTCTTAAGCTACAAGGGAGTCAGTGAAAATGACCGGTGGTCCAGAATGCAGCCTCATACCTGCTATAGTTCTCATGGCTATTATGTTTCCTCTCACAAGAGGAGTCAACTAGTGGGTCTGGATTGCTGTAGATTCATTATCTTCACCCCAAAGCCCTTTGTGCTGGGACAGAGAGGGGACTGAGAGCACACGTCTGTAGCATTCATAGGCTGATTACATAGGCAAGGCTCATTGCATCCTTTCTTTTGGACTGCACAGAAGAGTAACACTGCATGCACCCCTTTCTAAACTCCTTTTATTATTTGCAACATCTCTGTAGATCTGATCCAATTTCTGTATGTACATTTCCTCTCTAAAATTTTCACTCACAGATGAAGCCCCAAGTCTAGGGAAGGGCAATTCATTTTTTGGGGAAAAAATTCAATTCACCGTCAACGTTCCCTGTCAATGTGGAGTAATCTTTTTTTATGTAGCACCATCAGAGGGCAGATTTTATTCTTATGGAAGCTATCAAACTGCGGATGCTGCTGCTTACAATTAGGCAAATAAGCTCTTGTGCAATTTCTAACTGTGCCCATATAATAATAGCCTTTATTATACGGGTGAAAACCTGTATCTGGTTTCTGTTTGCATTTCAGCACTCACCACTAGTCCATTGCTACACCTGATAGCCCTCGCAAAGCCAGTAGGAACACAGACCAAATCCTATCGGCGAAAACCTCTACAGAGAGATGAAATCTACACCCAGAAAGATATATCTTCCAGCAAAAGGGGCCTTCACTGATAGAGTCTGGTGTCTTGCTAACATACTGTTGAGTTTCTGGCTAAAATATTTTACCTTCCCTTTACAGAGCTGTCAAAAAAAAAATAATTAAAAACTAGCTAGCAGAAACATAAATTGAGCAACACAGAAATTTTCCACATTTTTCTCTTACACTGCGGTAGGGAAATTACTCTGTAGGGAAGGCAGCTTTTGATCAACTTTACTTGTCATAACACAGAAGCAAATAACACAATACTTTGCATCACTGCTGATGCTGTGGATGTGTCACCTTTATACAAGCTTATACAAGCAGTGACTGTACAATCTACTCGGATTTTGGGAGCTAGCAGTCTTATTTGCAAACACTGTCATTATCTCCATGGTGATGCTGACAACAATTTTTAGTTTTTGCACTGATCTCTATGATTATAAATTCACTTTTACAATAAATTAGCTGCTTGGAAGGACACCCTGCAACAGGCTTCTTCAGGGTATCATTCCTAACTTCTGCATGCTATTTTCCAAAGGTTTTAGAATGCCTATTACATCTGCTTAGCCAAAAAGCTTTTCCATAGAATTACCATGATGAAATGAGCTGTTGACAGGGGTAGGTGGTGAAAGGATACAGTGGGACAGGACAGGTTATTAACTTCAGATCAAACTATTGCACAATGAAGATGTGTCAACAAGGTCTCAAATACAGATGTGCAATATATGTACTGTACAGTACTAATTGTTCTAATAGTTTGCACACTGATAAATTAGGAACAGTACTGCAGCTGTGCTAGGGTAGAGGTAGGGTAGATAAACTGGACCATTTCACCATCTGTAATGTTAGTACAAATAACTTGTTTTTTACTGCATGCAAAATGCACTTTACGTACTAAACATGTGTAAATGGCCTTTGGCCAATATCTTTGAAAAGTCATGGAGATCAGGAGAGATCCTGGATGATTGGAAAAAGGCAAATGTAGTGCCCATCTTCAAAAAAGGGAAGAAGGACGATCCAGGGAACTATAGGCCAGTCAGTCTTATCTCGGTCCCTGGAAAAATCATAAAAGGGATCCTTAAGGAATCTATTTTGAGGCACTTGGAAGAGGGGAAAGTGATCAAGAATAGTCAGCATGGATTCACAAAGGGCAAGTGGTGCCTGACCAATCTGATTAGCTTCTATGATGAGATAACTGGCTCTGTAGACATGGCAAAGTCAGTGGATGTGATATACCTTGACTTTAGCAAGGCTTTTGATATAGTCTCCCACAATATTCTTGCCAGCAAGTTAAGGGAATGTGGATTGGATAAATGGATGGTAAGATCAATAGAAACCTGGCTAGAAGGTCGGGCCCAGCGGGTAGTGATCAACGGCTCAATGTCAGGATGGCGGTCGGTTTCCAGCGGAGTGCCCCAAGGTTCAGTTCTAGGACTGGTTTTGTTCAATATCTTTATTAATGACCTGGATGAGGAGATAGATTGCACCCTCAGCAAGTTTGCAGATGACACTAGGCTAGGGGGAGAGGTAGATACTCTCGAGGCCAGAGGAAGGGTCCAGAGTGACTGAGACAAACTGGAGGATTGGGCTACAAGAGGTTCAACAAGGACAAGTGCAGAGTCCTGCACTTGGGACGGAAGAATCCCAAGCATTGTTGCAGGCTGGGGACCAACCAGCTAAGTAGTAGTTCTGCAGAAAAGGACCTGTAGGTTACAGTGGATGAGAAGCTGGATATGAGTCAACAGTGTGCTAATGGCATATTAGGTTGCATTAGGAAGAGCATTTCCAGCAAATCCAGAGATGTGATTATTCCCCTTTATTCGGCTCTTGTGAGGCCACATCTGGAGTATTGTGTCCAGTTCTGGGCCCCACACTACAAAAAGGATGGGGACACATTGGAGAGGGTCCAGGGGAGGGCAACTAAAATGATTAGGGGGCTGGAGCATATGACCTACGAGGAGAGGCTGAGGGAGTTGGGTGTGTTTGGTCTGCAGAATGAAGAGTGAGGGGGGATTTGATAGCAGCCTTCAACTACCTGAAGGGAGGTTCCAAAGAGGATGGAGAAAGGTTGTTCTCAGTAGTGACCGATAGCAGAACAAGGAACAATGGTCTCAAGTTGCGGTGGAAGAGGTCCATGTTGGATATTAGGAAAAACTATATCACTAGGAGGGTGGTGAAGCACTGGAATGGGTTACCTAGGGAAGTAGTGGAGTCTCCATCTCTAGACGTGTTTAAGTCTCGGCTTGTCAAAGCCCTGGCTGGGTTGATTTAGTTATGATTGGTCCTTCCTAGGGCAGGGGGTTGGACTTGATGACCTTCTGAGGTCTCTTCCAACTCTATGGTTCTATAATCTAAATTAATGTTTAAGGGTGCAAACATGTTCTCTTTGGCAGAAAGCCAAGAGAAGTCTGAAGTGAGGCTGGAAACTGTACCTTCAACTCCAAAAATTTTTCACCGGAGCTGCCTTTGGATGGGGAAGGTGGAGGAGGCACTACATTTGCTCCACTGCATCACAAACAGGACATAGAGACATTCAGGGAAGATTGGGGCATTCACATTAAAGTTATTCTTGATGCTAATCTGGAGGTCCCCTCTCCTATTGTAGCAGGATATCCTTGTGACAGGATCAGCTTTCTCTGACCAGAGGAAATCCTCTGGGATGGAGTTGGTCCTTCCTTACCCAGTCATGTTTCCCAGAAACTAAGTATCCTCAAATGTGCAGAGTTGTTTGGAAATAGATTCTAGGAGGGGAGGTTATGCTGTGTTGACTGATTCCCCCACCCTTCAACAGAATGGTGGTCAAAGAAGTAAGTTTTTTACTTATTTTATCCTCTCCATAGCAAAAAGTACAGGGATTTTTTAAAAATGCCTCAATTTAGAACTGTAAACCAGTACTTAGGGAAAATAAGTGGCCTGATTTTGAAAAATCCTGAGCACTCAGCATCTCCCAGGGAAATTGAAAGTTTTGTTTTTACTTCAATAGGCTTTGGATCAAGTCCTTACAGAGCTATACATTTTCAAAAGCACTGTGCAAACATTAGGTAATGAACTGCTTTTGCTAACAATAGAACAGTGTTGGTCTGTAAGAGAAGGACCCTACAGTGGGTATACTTACAAGGACTGTTCTACAGTTAGTACTAATTGAAGAAGAAACCCAAGGGAAAGGGTGAAATCAGAGGGTATGTCTACACTACCACCCTAGTTCGAACTAGGGTGGTAATGCAGGCATACCACACTTGCAAATGAAGCCCGGGAAATTCAAATCCCAGGCTTCATTTGCAAGTGCGGTATGCCTACATTACCCCGCTAGTTCGAACTAGCAAGCCATTCCGAACTATCTGTACGCATCGTGGAACGCCAGCGCGGCACGGGGTTCGACCAAGCCAGCAATTAAAAATGGCGCCGGCCAGATGTTTTTAGATAGACTTTATTCTTTCTGGGTATGTCTACACTACCCCGCTAGTTCGAACTAGCGGGGTAGTGTAGACATACCCAGAAAGAATAAAGTCTATCTAAAAACATGTCCATTTGTGGCCACAACCTCTCCTGATGAAAATGGGCACAGCTCAGCTGAAGTCAACAGAGTTGCACCAATTTTCAAAAGATTGGATCTGGCTCTTTAATTTTTGAGACTTGGATTAATCTATATTTTAATCAATCATTTGCATGAAACAATAGATAAGCATATTTTATTTTAAAAATTGTACACATATTTTAGTCTCTTCTGCATTAGAAAAAGAAACATTTCAGCCAAGCCAAAGCAAATGAAACTTCCTGCTTAATATTGCTAATAATGGATGCAATTTTCAAAAGCTCCTTAGCCATCTAAGAATACAAGTCCCATTAAAAATCAGTGGAACTTATATTCCTGTGACTGAGCTGCTTTGAAAATCTCATCCAAAAGTGCTTCTCATATCTACTGGATTCTGCTCTCAATAGGCTATAACATGCCATCATAAAGACTTCTATATTAAATTGATAGTATGAGATATGGCCCACGGTATGCAACAGAACTTTACTCATCAATACATTAATCTTTATGACTTGGTTTGCATTGTTTTGGAAAGACTGCACACATGCTGCTAGTAGGACAAATACTGAGCATCTTTTTATATTACTTATGCAAGATAGCGTTCATCTAAACCATAAAAGCCATGTAAGTATTTTTCTGTAATATTTTTCTTTCAAAATATTAATATTTTTGCTGCCAAAAAGTCAAAAAGTCTTGCCATTTTTATAATTATAGTATTTGATAGAGAGAGTATCTGAAATATACAACAGCTTATTCTGAGACGCTCACTCATTTTACAGTATATGGAATGTAATTGTCCAGAAAGTGAAATATGTATAAAAATAGGTAAAATTCCTACAATATTGTACTGATTTATATATTCCTCCTGCCTGGAAGGTTACAGCACTCTACAATATATGTATGAAATGTTTGTTCAGAAAGTTAAAAAACATTGTTACCTTGGTGAATGGCACGTTAATGTAGGAATGCATCATCAGAACTGATGCTCAATTCTGCTTAGCTGGTGCAAATCTATAGACAACCATCACCAACTTGTGTTTAAAACAAAAATCAATCCCAAAGATTCATTTTGGATTTGCTTTTGTTTTTTCTAAAGGGACCGAATTGAAATTTACAACCAATCATTCCTCTGGAAATAGAAGTATTTTGTTACATTTTTTTCTCCTTCTTCCCAGTTTGTTTACTGACAGCAGTTACCCACCTTTTAAAATAATTATTGCCTGACATTACATAGAGCTTTTACTGCTTATCTGGGACAAAGCAGTGAAATAAAGAGAATATCCAACTTTCCTCTCATGACCCAGTTTGGGCTTGTGCTTTTTTGATGAGTCTTTTGATCTGCAGCAGGTCTCATAGGCTTGTCTCCCGAAGAAACATGGTGCCAATGTTGTAGGAAACTTTTTTCACTCTGGCAGACGTAATGGAGGGCTTTGGCTGCTTCTGATCACTTGTGACCTCTAGGAAGTAACAGATCCCAGGGATTTCCTTTGGAAAGTTTTCTGGAAGCGCTTCACGGGACCGAGGAATAAAAGTAAAGTTTTCTTCATTTTTCAAAAGCCTAAGGAAAAAAAAAGAGGCAATCCAGAATTACATGGTCTGATAGTCTGAGTACAGTTAGAATAGTTCCTGTGCAACTCCCAGTTGGAAACTTGTTAAATTGTGTGAATATTTACAAATCACAGGCCAGAATCCTGGGATGGACAGACCTCCAAACCTATGCAAAATCATATTAATAACATTATAACTTATTTTGTGTAATGTTGGGTCATTTATTATTAAGATATAGGCACAATTAAGTTCTTTGCAAGATACTTGAAAATATAGCAATATTGATATATGTTTAGTTAGTTATGATATAAAATGTTCAGGCGGATTTTTTATTTTCTGTCTCAAGGGACAATGATATATCAAAACATAACTCTTGAGACATACCCTCAGTGATACACAAACTCAGAAAAGCTACATTTTAAACTTTACCTTGCTTCAACTTTATACTATTTTCTTGTGTGTTGTCTGTATTAGTTATAGAAAGAAGTGCTTTGTACAAAATATTTAACAGAGGTTTAAATGCTATACCAAACAGATTGTAACTCTAAGGCTTGGTCTATACTAGAGCAGGCAAGTTGGCTTAAAGTATGCCATCCAGCTACGCAAAATGCATAGCTGGACTCGGCATATCTTAAACTGAGTCACCACAGTATCTACACAGTGGGAGGCCAACGGGAGCACATGCTTCCATCGGCTTCCCTTACTCTTTGAAGATCGAGAAGCACTGGAGGCCAGCAGGGGCTGCCCTCAGTGTTCAATTTGGGGGTCTACACTAGACCTGCTAAATCGAGTGCAGAAAGATTGACCTCCAGAGGGTTGATCTTCTCTGTAGCATAGACAAGGCCTAAGGACCTTGACTCAAAAGTAAACAAACCATGTAAAACATTAATTTTAGAGGAAAAAATGGATTGTGAAAAGGAATAAAGATTTGAGTGATAAGAGCACAGTAAGTCAAGAGGTAAGGTGAACCTCTATCAACCTGAATCCCTTGCAAGAAAACTTCTCTGCTTATGTCTTAAAAACTTTAGAAAAGGCATATTGGTAATACTTTAATTCTAATGTTTATTTCCTAAACAGTGACATGGCAAACACTTTTTGTGAAATGCATACTTGTAAATACGTTAGCGAAATACAAAGTTCTTAATATAATTTCCTAATGTCATTACTATGTAAATGGTAAAAAGCTTTTATGTACTAACATGGATTCCAATAACCTTGCTAAACTAATTATTAATGTAATAAGGCATTTAAACATAGAATATTTATATTAATGGAAAATTAAGCAATTACTGGCAATGCTCAAGCCAGTCCCTCACCCAAATCAGGAACACAAAGAATCATCTCTCCAAAATTGTTATAAAGAATCAGAAGCTTTTTAAATAATTAAGTTAAAGACATTCAGAACAATTTTAAAGAATTGTTTTAAGAACTAAAAATATTTCGTTAAAGAATATGAGTATTTGGACTTTTTGAACACAGGACTGAATTTCCTGTTGGACTCCAATAATATGGAAGGAATTGCTCAGAAAACAGACCAAGTAAAAGGGAAGATAAACTCTTAACTTAAAACAGTTATCTGGAATTTTCCTACCTCAAGAATAACAGGCAATTAGAAATGTTGCATATTTTTTAAACAGATGGCATATTCAGGAGCTGAAGGTGCTACCAAAGCCAATCCTAATAGGCATGAAGCAAAGGAAAGAATGAAAATAATGAACTGTGAATCTGAACAAAGCCAAAAGAATTCTGTTTTAATATCATTTAAAGAAAAAGAGTATTAAAAACCCTGTAGTGATCACACCTCACACAATTATACCCTCTGTTACCCTGTTTAAACAGCAAACACCCTACAATTCGCCATGTCTTTCTCTACAAGAAAGGTACTACACACAGACAAGAAGAACTGAGAAGCCTCAAGACTTTGTTTTGCTCATAGGGAACTCTGTAGGCCAGATTGTGTTACCCTTCACAAGTGGCTCTGATGATTTAATCAAGACCCCTCATAAAGCAAGATACTCTTCAGTTTAATTAAGGGTACCAAAATCTGACACTATCCCATTAAAACTATCCAGAATAGTTTAAAGAAGCTTTACCACTATAATCTGTTCCAACTGGCTATAGTCACATGGAGACAGCTTGCCAGCATGGCCACACAGCAATGTTCCAGTCACAACCACATTTCTGTCGCTACAGCGACTAAGCCTCAGGCAGGAAGGGGCGATGATAGACATCTGGCTTTGCTAGCTTTTTGTCATCTGGGGATTTGTCCCATATCACAGAAAGCTTCAGCAGGCTAGAACTGCTAGTCTTGCAGCCTTTTTGTCAAATATCTTCCCTCAAATAAATTACTGATATAAGTTGTATTCTCAGATTACTAAAGAAGCCTTTACAAAAGCACTCTTCCTCTCCCCACCCCCTATCACACACACACCCAAGAAAGGACTGAGAGAGACATGGGTAACCACTCCATCACAACAGCTGAGACTTGTTCTTTAATCTTCTTCCTGTTGCTTTCAAGCTAACATGGACAGTAAAGAAAATGGAATTCAGCCTCTTGCAGGGGTTCAAAGAACTTCAAGTGTCATGGTAAATTCTTACAATAAGAAAACAGTTTGTGCCGTTTTCCTTTCCATTTTCTCTCTGACAGCCTCATCCAAAGACCACTGAAAGATTCCAGTGGCCTTTGGAACAGATTCTACATTACCTTCTCCTCTTGTTAGAGCCCTGCTCATCTGCAGATATCCCCTTAATGTCCATGAGTATCTGGATCTGGGGATATGGATATTTGTGGCTCAATTTTGCGAATGTGGAAGTAGATACAAGTTTTATATAGAGAACCCTACAAATCTGCTTTATATTGCTGGTACTTCATCCTCAGATTTTTGCAGATGAAGGTACAGATTTTGTATCCATTCAAAGCTCTACTCATTGCTCACAAAACTTAATCCTGGGAAGATGTCAAAGGAATACTGCTCTGGGGTGAATTTTCCAGAACATTCTAAAACTTTTCTCTTGTCCTGAAATCTGAGAACATTCATTATCATGGCACACAGATTGCCCCCTTTTTAGGTTTTGGCTGAAAGATGAAAGATGGATCTCTGCTCTATTTTTATGTGCATTTGAAGGCATTTTTCTCCCAGCACTTTAGACTCAGGTTGGTTACAAATCTAATCATGCTTTTTCCTTCAGCCTCTGCTGTGGTGCTTGTTATTATGTGGTTTGAGTGTCGTGATCTGTTTTCCAGGTCTTCAATTCTATGATCAAAATACTATCATATTTTCTGAATTGCTTGAAAGCCTGTGCTGGCCTCTATAGAGAAGATTCACTCCTTTAATCTTAGAAATGTTTGCAGTAAATGTTCCTAGCTTTAAGTCTACAGGTTTAATAAATTGCAGGAACATTTCTCTGACCCACAGATTTCCCAGATTTCTGCCACAGCAGCTCCTAGAATAGTTTCAAATCTGCATGCGACGCCACACTGCAATTCCTTCCACTTGAATTCGGTATATTTACCAACTTCTCGGGTGTTTTAGCTGAGACAGCTTTTAAGACCCCGTGTGCTAATGGAGGGGCACAAAAGTGACTTAACCAGAATTGAGGACCATGGCCTCAGAATGCAACTGCTTCATTATTCTTTACATTGTGTATGGCACATCAGTGAGAGAAGAGTCATGCACTGAATTGTTGGAAGTTAAGGCAAGTTCTCCTTTAATATTCACACACAAAATAGAAAGTCAGAGGCAATGTCTGAACCATGGACCAAATCCCAGCATGGGAAGCAAATAAGATACAAAAGGAGCATGAATACCAGGATGACACTTTGGTGACAATTGAAGAAACCAGCATGGCTGAGATATGTTTTCTAACTCCTTTTTTATTTGGAGTCTACAAGGGTATGGCTAGACTACAAGTTTTTGTCAGAAAAAGGTACGCAAAATGCACTATGCATTTAGCATATCTTTTTCTGATTCTTTTGTCGGAAGAGGCTTTTCCAACATTTGGCCTGTCTAGACTGGGCCAAATGTTGGGGAAAAAAAACCCTCTTTCGGAAGCCTGAGTAGAACAAGGAATACAGGGGCTTCCGAAAGAGCGCATTTGCTCTTCCGCAAAAAAAAAGCAGAAGAGCAAGCACGTTGCCTAGATGTGGTGGAGTTTTTTTGGGATACTAGAGGTATCCCGAAAAACCACCACAGTCTAGCTGTACTCCAATTGTGCTACTTTGCAGCCCTCATGTTTTAATACCATTCTAATAGTTTTGTTACCAACCCCAGTTGGGCAAAGGAATCTTATTTAGAATGTAAAAGTAAAATAGATGCCATAAACTATTATTTTAAAAGATTTTCACAAGAGTGTGGTGCAGAAGAGGATATCCTGTCACAGTGACTTGGGGACGGAGTTGAATGTTATTCAAATAAAGGTCATTTGGACAATCTCCAAAAGCAAGAGACTAAGGACATGTCTACACTAAGAGATAAAGTCAAATTTGTTAATATCAATTTTTAGCACCCAATTTTGTAAAATCGAAGGTGCATGTCCCCACTGTATGCACAAATTCAATGTAGTTTGAAGTAGATAGGGTGGCTACCATCGACTTTGTGAGTGATGCACCATGGGGAGCTATCAGTGCACATTGGGACCAAAACTGAGTAGCATTCCCGTTATGCTCCCAGTGCACGTTGGGACCAAAACTGAGTAGCAGCCCATAACACATTTGTCTACTCCCTCTCTCCAAGTTTAAGACCAATGGCAAACAGTCTTTTCATGCCCTTTTTTCTCTTGTTGGTTTTCCATGCAGATGACATGGCAGCCTAAGCATAGCATCCATCATCATAATGCTTTGATGTAAATGGTACCCATGATGATAACCTTGGTGCGTCTAATGCTAGGGTATGTCCAGAGTATATCCAGGGTCTACCTAAATGAGGAAGATTTTCAGGAAGCCATGAACATACTCTTCTGTGAAGCATTTGAGTTGAACATATTACAAATGTTGCCAGCATTTGATCCTCT